TTATTGTGCATGACCTCCTTGCTGAAGGTATGATCATTAATGAGGCCTTTCAAGTCGCCGATTTCATTGAGAAGTTACCTCCGTTGTGGAAGGACTTTAAGAACTATCTTAAACACAAGCGGAAGGAAATGACACTAGAAGACTTGATTGTTCGTTTGAGGATAGAAGAAGACAACAAAAATGCTGAAAAGAAGTCACGTGGAAACTCGACAATAATAAGGGCTAACATTGTTGAGGAGGCGCCACAAAATAAGAAGAGGAAAAAGGCTTCTGGACCAAAGAATTATCCAAGCAAGAAAAAGTTCAAGGGTAATTGCCACAACTGTGGAAAGTCTGGGCATAAGGCCGTGAACTGTCGTGCACCAAAGAATGATGTACAAAAGAAAAAGAAGAAGAAGAATCAAGCAAACATGGTTGAAAATGTTGAAGACATGGAGGACTTGTGTGCCATGTTGTCTGAATGCAACTTGGTAGGAAATCCTAAAGAATGGTGGATTGATTCTGGAGCCACCCGCCATGTTTATGCTAAAAAGGAGTTATTTTCTTCTTATGCCCCCGCAGGACCCGACGAGACAATTTTCATGGGAAATTCGTCTACATCCAAAATTGAAGGAGTTGGCAAGATTGCGTTGAAGATGACGTCGGGAAAGATTGTGACTCTAAACCAAGTTCTCCATGTTCCAGAAATTCGCAAGAATCTGGTGTCTACCTCACTTCTTGTCAAAAATGGATTCAAATGTATTTTTGTTTCCAATAGTGTTGTACTAAGTAAGAATGATATGTATGTAGGAAAAGGTTACCTGAATGAGGGCCTTTTTAAGCTAAATGTAATAGCAGTTCCTATCAATAAAGCTAATGCTTCGTCTTACTTACTTGAGTCAAACACTTTATGGCATTCTCGCTTAGGTCACGTTAACTTCAAAACATTGCGAAAAATGATAAATTTAGACGTATTGCCAAAATTTGATTGCATTAATTCCAAATGTCAAATATGTGTGGAATCAAAGTATGCTAAGCATCCTTATAAGTCCGTTGAAAGGAATTCAAGTCCTTTAGACTTAATTCACACAGATATTTGTGACATGAAGTCAACACTATCTTGCGGTGGGAAAAAGTATTTTATTGCTTTTATTGACGATAGCACAAGATATTGCAATGTTTATTTACTTAATAGTAAAGATGAGGCAATTGATGCTTTCAAGCAATACAAGAGTGAAGTTGAAATACAACTAAACAAAAAGATCAAAATGATAAGAAGTGATAGGGGTGGAGAATATAAATCTCCTTTTGAAGAAGTATGTTTGGAAAATGGCATTATTCACCAAACAACTGCCCCTTACTCTCCACAATCTAATGGAATTGCGGAGAGAAAGAATCGAACATTGAAAGAGATGATGAATGCGTTGTTGATAAGTTCTGGTTTACCACAGAACTTGTGGGGGGAAGCTATACTTACAGCTAACCGAATAATCAACCGTGTACCTCATAGTAAAACACAGTCCATTCCCTATGAAAAATGGAAAGGAAAGAAGCTTGAAATACTTCAAAGTGTGGGGGTGTTTAGCTAAGGTACAAGTTCCTAAACCTAAAAGGGTTAAGATAGGTCCAAAAAGGGTTGATTGTGTATTTATTGGATATGTAACCAATAGCAAGGCATATCGTTTTCTGGTTCATAAGT